ACCTTTCATCATACTTTACAGCTCTTTTCCCAGTGTATACTCTTAATTTCTCTCGTTTACATTCTTCTGTTACTATATAGCCTGGCGTCTCTTTCCGTAGCCCTAACATGCACCTCAAATATTTTTCTTGTACTGCTTCCATCTTTGCATATTCCTTCCATTCCCATATCTCCACTCCATACATTAATACACTCCTAACTAAACTATCAAACATTTTCATCCTTCTTCTTACGTCATGTCCAAATATTATCACACCATTCCCATTATCTGCATTGCTTTGATCCTTCTTTCTCTTATGTGTGCTTTTACCGTATTAGTTGTTGTAAACTTAAATCCTAAATATTTAAACTCCTTTACTGTGTCTATGATTCGATCTTCCCAACGCCACACTTTTTCCTCCCCTTTTCTCCTTTTTTTTCTAAACACCATCATTTTTGTTTTTTCTACATTTACCTCCAGTTTCTTTCTTTTAAAGTATCTTTGCAGATTTTTTTTCATCTCATTCATTCCACATTCATCCTTCGCCAATATTACCAAATCATCTGCAAATGCCAAACACCATACCTTTTCTCTCCCCACCACAATTCCTGCCGCTTGTACTCCTCTAAACATTTCCTCGATATCGCTTATGTAACAAGCAGACAGACTGGGACTTAATGGGCATCCCTGTCTCAATCCTTTCGTCGTCCAGAACATTTCAGTTTCTATTCCTCCCACTCTCACACTAGTCACTGTCTCTCTATAAATCTCTCTTCCTGCTACAATTAACTTTTCAATCAGTCGTCTTCTCTCCATGCATTCCCACAAACACTCTCTGTCCACCGTATCAAACGCGGCTTTTAGGTCTACAAACAGTGCATATACCCGACCTCCTTCCTTTAGCAACTTTTTTTCTACTAGATGATGCAGGATATATGCATTGTCCATTGCCCCTTTACCTCTTGACTTTCCGGTAATATACTCTTTTCGTTCATCTCTGTCACCAACCTTTCATTTAACACCATTGCGTACAGTTTATGTGCCGTATTTAGGAGAGTTATCCCCCGATAATTCTTTACTTTTTCTTTATTACCCTTTTTATGAATTGGGCATATTTGCCCTACTCTCCATTCCCGGGGAAAACCTTTATACGTTCACACATCATTCATTAACTCGCTCAATCTTTCAATCATCCCATCCGTCCCAAATATCCACACTTCGTTTACCAACCCATCCCTCCCCGATGCTTTTCCTCTTTTCCGTCTTCCTACTTGTTTTCCTACTTCCTCTCCTCGAATCTCAACTTCCCTGTCTCTATCACCAATCCCGGTTTTACTATCTTGCACTACAATTCTCTCTTCCTTTCCATTCAACAGTTCCATAAAATGTTTCTTCCACTGTATTATGTATCCGTTCTTTATTTATATACTGCCATGCCTCTTGCTCGGTTCTTATGGCTTTAATTTTTTCTTCTTCTTGCTGTATCTCTTCTTTCTTTTCTTTGCATCGTTTTCTATAATTATTTTTTGCTTGCCAGTACTCTTCTTTTATACCTTTCCCCTTTTTCCACCTTCGTAAACATTTCCTTGCTTCTGTTTTTAAATCTCTGCATCTGCTATCCCACCATCTGTTTCTCTTTTCTAAATTTCTCTTTACAATTTCTTTTCTTATGGCTGATTTTTCAGTTTCTCTTTTTAATTCTTCCATTTTCTTTTCAGTTCCTTTTTCTTTAAATTCCACTTCTAACATTTTTTTTTTATAATGCTCAATTCCTTTTTCATTCCATACCCATATCTTCTTCTCTTTTCCTACTTCATTCCTTAAGCATCCGCTCCCTCTACTTATGCCCCTCACTTTTACTTCTAGTGGCATGCGATCGGAGTCCACTCTTTCTCCTATATTGAATGTTTCTACCTCTTCTTCTGCTAATCCGTTTACTATTACGTAGTCTATTCCCCTCTTTTACCTATCCAGGTAAATTCCCCCTCCTCGTCCCCTTCCTTTATCCCATTCAAGACTTGCCAACCTGGTTCTTCAATTAATTCCCATAGCAAGTTTCCGTCTTCGTTTTCTACTTTATCTTTCGATTTTCGTGTGTTTTTCCCGTCTTCTTCCCTGCTTTTTTTCTTGGATTTCTTGGAGTGAGCATATTTTGCGTGTCACCAAGAGAGCTAACTCGATGCTTTATCATATTTTCTCTTAATGTTTCAAAACGTACTAGAGGACATCCCCTGAAATTACTTAAGGAAAACTTTCATACCACGGTGAGACAAACATTGTTGTCAAACAGAGTTTTTCATGATTGGAATGCGCTACCCCAAGAAGTGGTATTAGCGGAGTCTACCTTAATATTTAAAAATCCAAATATGATACTTATTGTACTAACTGAAGAACAATATTGTCATCCCACCACTTGTTGTTAGGGCGGGCACAACAGGCCAGCCTCTGCCCGGTCGCTTCTTTAATAATAATAATAATAAAATATTTAAAACAAATCTTGCATATAACACTAAATTCCTTAAGATTAGGCAGACTTACCTTATATCGACGGCAGACACAATTCTATAGTAACATCGACACAGATTGTTCAACGGAGCATAGTCTGTACAACAGGATAGTTCTACAAATTTTGAGTACGAAAGTCTCAGGGTAACGACAATTTGACCGCGATTATGAATTAAATTGAATAAAAGTACGATGTTAACATAAGTTCTTCTCGCTTTTAATGAAACAATACTTACATCTATTAAGAGTGCATCCTTTGGATAAGACCTTACAGGATATGAGCCAAATTTAATGTAATCTATGTAGGCGTTTGCAGAATTCTCTTTGAGCTCGCTCTAACGATGAAATATGAACTCGATAATATAGATCCCGAATCACACAACAGTTTTCCAACTTATTTCTAACATAAGCATAGCATATGCCTCTCCGGGCGAGGGAACGCCGTGGTTGCTCTCAAGCCGGAGACACGGATTTCAGGTGGTGAGCGATAAATTAAACGACAAATCGGGTTTATTCCCTGCCACCAGCTACACGGCTAAAATAATAAAACTTACGGCTAATCTTAAATAAAATAAATACAAAATGGTTAAAAAAAACAAGAATAAGACGTCCGGCATGGTCGTTCCTCCTGGGCGCGACTTCCTTCAGGACGGGCTCCTCCTGGACTTGGAGGCGGCGACCTTGAACCTGGAAATCGCGCGAAGACGGTACACAACGCGTGCACGACGGTTTCGACTTGTGACGGTGACGACAAAAAAAACGGTGACATCAAAAATATCTATATCACGCTATACAATCTTCAATAGAATTTACAGTTAGCAATCTTCAAATCGTCAGCATACGCAAATATGGGACAATTTAGCTGAAAAAGTGCAACATTAAAATATATAATAAACAGTATTGGGCCTAGATTCGACCCTCGTGTTACTCCACTGAATGAAAAATATCTAGTATATGTATCTCCAAAGATTTTTGGGACTGGATTTTATAAAACCATTATACAGTACCACACGAAATGGTATTTAGTTTATTAAATATTATAACCATCCCAATACGTATCTGTATCCCAAAGCCAAAAACTAGGCTTTTTGCGAATACGAGTAAATTTGTCGGACCGAGCTTGAGAGGCAAATAACGAGTATACGCAAAAGTATGCTCTGAGCGAGGAATGGATACACAAGATTTTTTGTACTGATTTTTATATAAATACAATTGTTATTAAGTAATTATACTGTTTTTGACGGTATACAATTAAGGAAATGAAAGCATATAAACAATCCTTCATAATGAAACTGAACATTGCACGTAATATTTACTTTATTTATTCCTAAAGTAGCTCAAAACTTAGAAAAACAGAATGACAAGCGATAATACCAACCGTTATCAATCATAATCATACAAAAATCCTTAGGTTTTGATTTTGGTTTTTGACCGTATTAGAGATGCGAACCGGAGGTCTTAGAAAAAATGTGAAGTATTCTTATTTGAAACTGTTTATTATCACTTCTATGTATGTATAAACACCTGCACAGAAGCGGAATTGAAAGTCCGATCAGTCTAGATAGAAAAGAACACATATGTCAGATGTAAACTAGCGTCTGGTACGGAAACCTTATTTATTACTCAATTCATGTGAATAGCATAGAAAAATTTCAGAGAAAATTATGCAAATATCTTCATTATCTTCATATATGAAATTTTTAATATACAAGCAGCAATTAAAAAAAAAATTATGAATAGTCAATATCCATTGTTTTTTTTTTATAAGAACCACCAGATATGAAACCAAGCTGAGTTCATTAATGGTTAAGTGATATTCAATGTACTAGATGTTTGTAGTATGAAATATCCTAGTAAATACCCATTTTCTTCTAAAGTAACTGTGACTATAAAAACTTGGTTTGAATACACAATACTCAGTTTATGTGTCAACAAAATTTTAAGCACACTTCAAGATTCATTTATCACGGACGGGCGATCCGATCCTCGTAAGTCTTGACTCCGGGCAGCGTTAACTACGCCGGTACTCGATTTGTACAACACCCCAAGATAAAAATATAATAATATATTTTTTAGAAATTTATATTAATTTAAAACGACATGTTAAACAGTTAAAGTGACGTGACATTTGTGTTAAGTTTGGAATAAAGAAAATCACAAAACAAGAAGGTCGATGAATTAATTTTAATATTTACTCGTAATTAAATTTAATTGGGTAGTTTCTATCCTCAGAGTGGTACTTTGGTACTGTTTCATGATACTTAAACAACTCTCTCACTAGTTTCAGCAAATATCATCACAATAAAACCCAAGAAACTTTCAAGAAGTCTTGTGTAAAAGCCACTCAATTATTTTCTCTGGTTAAAACGACCTAACCTTCCAACAAGTGGTGTTGATTCATACAGTAATTCCAGCGCATGATTGTTCCAATGAATATGGTTGTTTGTTTTTGATTTTAAGAACTAATTTCTCTATTCTGGTTACCCATAAGTAAGTGCTTTTTATTTTCTTTCCAGAAACGTCCCAAGAGGTGACAAGCCACACACCAAAGCCAAAAGATTTACCCAAGTCGATGAATATGTTAGCAGAAGACCAAATGAGCGACGAACCCAGAGGCCGTGCTCTCAATTTTACCATGAAAGATCCCAACAGCGAAAATGTGTTATCCTCGAATACTACAACGCACGACGAATTCGGTGACCTTAGCGATGTTAGCATAAACGAAGATGAGGACGAAGACGAGCACAGCATGCAAACCGAGAGAATATTGACACCTAAAGTAACAGGACATAATAATGTCACGAACAGTTCAGTGCAAGGTATACCGTTGTAAAAACTATGGTAATTCTTAAAGTTTTCTCCCTTTAATTGCATCCTTTTGTGTTTTCTTAAACATTTGTTGGTTTAGGAGTGTGCGAAAAAGGAGGGTTGACATACGAAAACGGGGAAAAATTAGAAATTGGGTGTGACTCGGTATGTACTTGCCGAAATGGGAAAATGAACTGTGAAGAAAGATGTCCTAAGCCGCTGTTCCGTAAGGGAAAGAAAATAGATGATCCGTTATGCACCGCCAAAGATGCAGAAGATTCGTGTTGCTCGATTATGATTTGTTCAGCAGACACAGGTTGGTTGTTTTAACATATTAATTAGTCAAGTTGGCAGCTTGTAGTTAGCTATTCGCTATATAGTAGTTAGAACTTATGTTAGAGTTCACACGTATTTTTCTAGAGGTAAGCAATGTTGAATATAATGCATAATTAAATAAGTGCACGGTAGTTTTTGACCTCATTATCGCTTAATTTACGTAGTGAATTTTAATAAACACAATTTTAATTCGAAGACTGGTGCTAGTTTGTAAGTTGAATTATTGGTTTTAAATTAGTACCAGAAGAATCTATTGCAAATGGTACTACGCTCTTAATTACTATCTCTGCACTACAGATGATCTGACAGTACTAAGTCTCTCTTGGGAACTTCTGCTATAGTATAAATACTATAAATCTGTCCCTACTGCTGTTTACAATACTTTTCGAATCTGTCTTTTTGCAATCTCAAATCACTACAAGACGTCAACTTGACACCATAACATATAACTTTGATACATAAAATTCTGTTAAAAATTGTCATACACAGAAACAGAACCACTGGAAATATGTACATTCAATAATCATACTTACAACAGAGGCGACACCTTTAATAAAGAATGCGAAGAAGTCTGTACATGTGAAGCTGGTGGAAAATTATCTTGTAAAATGCGATGTCCTCAAGTGCAAAAAACCAACGACAAATGTGTAGAACTACCAGACCCCAACGATTCTTGTTGCAAAAAATTGTTTTGCGATGTAACATTAGACGATCACGAACCTGATAAAGACGTTATCCAGAAACATAAGTTAGTTTTCGCGAAATTCCTTAATACATCGACCATAGAGTTGAAGTTTGACCCAAAACCCAACGATAAAGAAGCGGACATTTATATTGAGGGTAGTTCCAATCAAAACGACTGGAAAACGTACAAAATTCGAGAACAAAAGTATGTTGATGTAATGGAAGGCACTAAATATCTCAAAATGGAAAATACTGACCAATCGATAAAAATTGAAAAACTGGATACAAATGAAACTAAATCAGAAAACGGAGAGTGCAGTTATAAAGAGATGAACTTTAAGTTAAATGAAGAATACAACGATAACTGTACTTCATTGTGTGTTTGTAAAGAAACTGGAATGACGTGTTTGGAATTACGATGCCCGACTTACTTTGGAGTGGACGTTTTAGACCCACACTGTGTGGAGTGGGAGACTGTGCCTCCAGATTTTCAACCGTCACCTCCAAATTGTTGTCCCGAAAAACTGACGTGTAAGAGTAATGGGTCTTGCATCTACGAAGGTCATAGTTTCCAGAATTGGCAACAGCTACCGGAAAATATCACGGGTTGCGATAAGAGATGTTACTGTGAGATGGGTAACGTAGAATGTCAAAACACATGTCCACCAGTTACAGCTTTACCACCACCCAACTTACCCTGTCCAGTTCACCAAGCAATCATCGATCATTTGCCTGAAGACGACTGTTGCATGTACTGGGTGTGCAGTCCACAATCAGGTAAGTGATTCTGAATGCCAAAACAGCTGCGTAGACTATGTGCAGGTCGCGGGCTAAGACGTAATTTGCTTTTCGATTGTTGAATTGCGGTACTTTGTGGGGTTCCTACTTAACTAACATAATGTACATAAATGACAGGACTGACTAACTTTCCACTCTGTAAATATTTTGGACACGGCTTTGGTAGTAGTTGTGGATCGAAATTTTGGAGTGGAACTTGACGAGAACTTTATTTCAGCGACTGGACATAATGAAACAAAGAAAGGCGATAAAGCAATCATAAAAAATACGACAGAAGTCCCATTCAATTTTCTTCCAACAAAGGTTCCTTCTAAAAATAAGGGACCTCTATTGGTTTACACCAATCATGCTAGCAATTCATCGGAAACTAACACAAATAATCCATTCACACCACCTAACATACTTCCCGATGAAAATCCCTTTTACCATAAAAATAATAAAGAAGAAAGCAAAGACTCCTTCCCAGGCCCTTATAACCCTAATTATAAAAAATCCGAAGTTAAACCACAGAAAGGTCAGAAACCTAAACCTAGTAAAGATAACCCACCGCTTGCCACTCAACCGCCTCGTGGAAATTACATTCCTAACCAAAAAGTCAAAAACACGCAGTTTCATGGAACTCAAGACGAGTTGCTTCAGTTCATTCATCAACATCCAGAAATCGGCAATTATCCCTCAGGTTCTGTAGTAGAAATTCATAACGTTCCAGCCAAGCCACCCAACCCATTCATTAGCCCCAATGTTCCAAACGGAAGACCTCAGCATTTCATTCCTTACGTTATTCCCCAAAACGGTCACGTTGACGACTTACCACCTGGCATAACACTCGAGCAAATCTTGCAAGAGGTGCACAAGAATGCCAACCCGCACGGGAGTATGCTACCCTTCCCATCTAATCAGTTCACTGGCGGACCGGTATTACTAGCCCCACAAAGCCCAATTCTACCAAATAGACATAATTCGTCGTATCAAGGTTTGTGTAGGAAGCGACTTTAAGAAAATGTACTACTATATTTTCAACTCAGGTCAAATGTTTCCTGCAAACTATCCCAATATGCCGGGAGTACCACAAGAAGATATTACTGTTACCACACTAGAAGCTCTGGATGCACATACGGTTCGATTGGCGTTTGTTGTTCCACCCGTCATAGTAGGGTTACACGGAAGGGTAGAAGTTCGATACACCCATCATGAGTAAGTCATAATATTTGTTCACATTTAAAGATCCACCACTACTTCAATTTACCCAGAAAATATATTGTATATCAAAAATTAAAAGCTGGTGGGCACTGTCGGAACAGGACCCGATTTCAGCTCAATACCGCGACTAGACGCACGGTTTCCATGGCAACGGTGTAAACAAAACATCTAAATGAGCCACCGCTTTTATCAGTACATCATCAGCAAAAACATATCATATATCCAAGACACAACATCTTTAGCTATAAGTTTTGATACATTTTATACAAGTGGAGCTAGTTAAAAAAATTAGTTTTGATAATTATGACACAAATTTCCGGTTAATTTTTTAAATATTCATACTTACTATTTTGCTATGTCCAATGTGTTTGTAGGCGTTGTAATTGGGGGGGGGGGCACCAGCCGTCCCTGATTTTGAAGTGTCGCTTTGTCAAATTTGTCTTTATCCAAAATTAACAGAAAATAAAAGGCGGAGAAATATGAAAAAGAAATTCTGATCCTTTTATGCCTTATTTTTATGCTTAATTATCATATTTTTCTTTCCAATGAGTTTGTCAACAAAAAATTGTCAAGTCTATAACATTATAGCTCACAAATCGAACATGTAAATAAAATCTGTTGGATAAAAGTAATGTCAAGCGTTAACTTATTATAATATGATAATTGTAACTTTTATATATTGTACTCCCAGTTTAAAGTGATTTTTATAACAAGATAATAAACATTATCACCTCATTATTACCCCACAATATGAGTTGAATAACAAAGTACGGCCCTGCAAGAACCGACCACTTTCTTATTTATGGCTAGGGTTTTACTCAATTGTCCCCATCATCAACTTGGACACAATGGACTTATCATAAAATCCACTTTAAACTGGGAAGACAATAACTTGTATTAAATAACTTTTATTCTATTTTAGAATGACAATCTTGTTTATAAGTACACAATTGCGGGCATAAATTGACCTTTATGGCACAGATCAATCACAAATTGCTAAGCAACGACTGATTAATCCTTGAAATTAATAAGTTATTGAAACAAGCTTCGATATTCAACATTTTCTAAAGATTCCCTGGGCCACCTCAAATTCTTCTAAAATTTCTTTTGAATAATTCTTCATCAAAATAGCCAGCTATGTATTAAAGTTTGCATCGGCATAATTCACACAATCTTATCGGAAATATACAAAACTCGCTTGACATACACCTTGTAAACCGCAAAGATTATTACTGTCCATTGTTGCCATAATGGAGCTGTAAAGTTTTGCTATGTATATGTGAATTGAGTTAAGTTAATCATGGCGAGTATGACTTATAAGGAAGCTTTAACTTAAGCCGCTTAAGTCATAAGAGTTTTACAAGGTGTATGTCAAGTGAGTTTTATTATACTCAATATTTCGTTATAAAATATAGAACAGAACAAAACGTTATATGTACCACGAGTATAATTGTCGATTATGCCCTTAATATCTACATAAATACTAACTATTATTAATTTTTTAGAAAATTAAAAGAAACATTGTTGACTGGAACAGTTATCACTCAAAAATTTTTGTCTTTTTTTTCATTACTGAAGTTAAGAAACTGAAAACGAATAGCTACATATTTCTGATTGGTTTTAAGTTTGTTGTTGTCGAAATAAGTCTACACATAACAAGAAGAAAGCAAAATGTAGCCCCGCCCACCCGCCCTATCTCAATTGTGATAATTTGTTTTTTATTTGTCGTGAATCAAGAAGGCGGAGCTTAACTGCAAAATCCTTATTTGTATACAAGAATTTACCATTTTAAACATGTTTTAAGTTTCTTGTTCTGAAAAGACGACTACGTATATTAAGAAAAAATGCAAAATATAAGCCCCGCTCACCCGCCCTATCTCAATTTTGATGATTTTTTTTTAATCGTCGAGAGCCAACGAGCGGAATTTAATTGCAAAATCCGTATCTTCGTACAAAAATTGACCATTTTAAACGTGTTTTAAGTTTCTAAGAATAAAAATAATCATCACAATTGAGATGGGGTGGGTGGGCGGGGTTAATATTTTGCTTTTTTTTTCTTAATATACTAATATAATGTATTCTTTCAAAAACACGATACTTGAAAACATGTTTTTAATTTCTTGTAAAGAAATAAGTATTTTACAGTACTTGGCTAAAATAAGAGTGATTTTTGGCATATCACATATCCTTTAAGAAAATTGACAGTGGGTGGATGGGCGGGGCTAGTATTTGACAAGATAGCACTAGTACTAGTAAATTTTTTTCGATATTCGAATTTTCGATTGGTTTCATTCCTGTTCAGTCCAATTTTTTAAATTTTCGAGTTTTAGAATTTTTGATTTGTGATTTTTTCAATTTTTTTGCTCTTCAGTTTCAGACTTTGATGTTTTTTACTTTTTGATCGCAATTTTTTTACTTTTCGATTTCTCAATTCCATTTTTCGGTTCTTCGATTTTGCATTAGGTACATTAATGTTCTTTGGTCGAGTGGGAGGGGAAACTAATAATAGAAACCGAAAATGACTTCGGGATATCGAAATCGATAACAAAATGTCTTCAACTAATTTTCGGAAATAGTTGAAAAATGGTCGAAAATGTCAAGTGCCAAAAACAATCTTCTCTCATCAAATACTAGCCCCACCCACCCGCCCTCTGTTTTCTTGGAAAGTATGTCATTGGCCAAAATTACTCTTATCTTAGCAAGTACTACAGCTACCCCCTCTTCTCACTGGAACGACTAATTTTATTTCTGTTCAGTATATATTCAGATCCCATAAAATCAGTCACTGAAAAGGAGACAGGGTGGGTGGGCGGGGTTAATTATGTTCTTCTGTCGAGTGGGAGGGAACACTAATAATAGAAGCCGTAAATGACTTCTGAATATTGAAATCGATAACAAAATCTCTACAACTAATTTTCGGAAATCGTTGAAAAATGGTCGAAAATGTCAAAAGTGCCAAAAACAATCTTATCTTACCAAATACTAGCCCCGCCCACCCGCCCTCTGTTTTCTTAGAAGGTATTTTATCTGCCAAAATCTGTGTCATCAAAGCAAGTACTAGTCCCGCCCACCCGCCCTCAATTTTCTTGGAAGGTATGTTATTTGCCAAAATCAGTCTAATCTTGGCAAGTACTAGCTCCATCCAGCCGATGATTTGCTAACATAAGACTGGTTCACGGTGAATAAAAAAATCATCAGAATTGAGATAGGGCGGGTGGGCGGGCTTACATTTTGCCTTCTTGTTTCAATATGTGTAGACTTATTTTCACAACATGAAACTTAAAACATGTTTAAAATGGAAAATTTGTATAAAGAAATATCGATTTTGTAATTAGGCTCCGCCCCATAATTGCAAAATCCATATTTCCTTGCAAATATGCACCATTTTAAAAATGTTTTTAAGTGTCTTGTTGTGAAAAGTTGGCTATGTATGTTAACAAAAAAAAAGGTAAAATATAAGCCCCGCCCACCCGCTCTATCTCAATTCTGGAATTTGTTGCAAAATCCTTATTTCTCTACAAGAAATTACAGACATGTTTTTGAGTATCGTGTTGTTCAAAGAATACTGTGTACATTAAGAAAAAAATAAAGCCAAAGATTAAACCCGACCCATATCCGCCCCGAACTCAATGCTCAATTGTGATGAACTTTTCATTCGTGGTGAGATCGTGGGGCGGGGTTTAATTGCGAAATCCACTTTTGTCTATAAGAATTTACCATTTTAAGTTTCTTGTTCTGAAAAGACGACTACGTATATTAAGAAAAAAGACAAAATATAAGCCCCGCCCACCCGCCCTACCTCCTTTGTGATTATTTTTTTTAATCGTCGAGAACCAATTAAAGGAGCGGAATTTAATTGCAAAATCCTTATTATTTCTCTACAAGAAATTACCATGTAAGGCATGTTTTTGAGTATCGTGTTATTCAAAGAATACTATGTATATTAAGTAAAAATTACAGACAAAGATTAAGCCCCACCTGCCCTGATCTAAACAGCAAAGAAGTTTTCATTCGTTGGCAGACCTAGGGGCGGAGCCTAACTGCAAATTCCATATTTCCATACAAAAATTTACCATTCTAAACGTATTTTAAGTTTTAAGAATAAAAAAATCATCACAACTGAGATGGGGTGGGTGGGTGGGGTTAATATTTTGCTTTTTTTCTTAATATACATAGTATTCTTTGAACAACATGACACTCAAAAACCTGTTTTTAATTTCTTGTAGAAAAATAAGTATCATGCAGTTAAGCTCCGCCCCCATGGTTCACCGCGAATAAAAAAATTCATTACAATTGAGATAGGGCGGATGGGCGGGCTTACACTTTGCCTTTTTGTAATATGTGTAGACTTCTTTTCACAACATAAAACTTGAAACATGCTTCGCCCCATAATTGCAAAAATAAAACGCAAATATATAAGCCCCGCCCACCCGCCCTATCTCAATTCTGATGATTTTTTTATTCAACGTAAGCCGAGGAGAGGAGATTAATTCTAAAACTCCTATTTTTCTAGAAAAAATTACCATTTGAAATATGTTCTTAAGTAATCGTGTTATGCAAAGAAAACTAAATGTATTAATTAAAAAAGAAAATCGAAAGAGAGGCCCCACCCATTCGTCTCGATTTCACTCGTGATGAATTTTTCATTCGTTGTCAAACCAAGGGGTGGAGCGTAATTGCAAAATCGATATTTCCCTCTAAAAAAATTTATCATTTTAAACATGCTTTAAGTTTCTTGTTGCGAAAAGATGACTACACGTATTAAGAAAAACAAGGCAATATGTAAGCCCCGCCCACCCGCCCTATCTCAATTGTAATGATTTTTTTATTCGTCGTGAGCCACGGAGGAGGAGCTTAATTGCAAAATCCTTATTTCTCTACAAGAAATAGAAAACATGTTAAAAAATTAAGCCCCACCCATATCCATCCCAAGTTCAATTGTGATGAATTTTTCATTCGCTGTCAAACCGAAGGGCGGAGCCCAATTGCAAAATCGATACTTTCCTACAAAAATTTACCATTTAAAAATCTTTCTTGTTGTAAAAAGAAGACATTTTCCTAGAAAAAAATCATCTTCAGAAAATTTTTTTTTTTCATGACTTCTGGATGACTAACATTAATCCTTGACTATTATTGCACTATTCGGTGAACCGTTGGTTGGGATACCCAGTTTAAATTTTACAATAAAAAAGTAGTTTCACAAGACAAATGTGCGAAAACCAAATTTACCAAAGAATGTCAAAAAACATTTCCTCAAGTTGTCGGTTACTAAGAGCAGGTGCTAAATTTTTAACTTCGTCCATACACTGTATTAGTGCGGTTTTTAAGTTTTTACGACATAAATTTCTAGCTCTAGATGCGCTAGATCTAGAATGACAGGGAAGCAAAAACCTATAAAAAGTATTTCCAACATATCAACTAGTGGTGGATCTTTAAAATCAAAACAAATAGTAAGAAATTTTCCGAACTAGTTTGTAATGCGCTCTGTTCCAGTAATCCTGATACAAGTACATGGGAACTCCAAGTTTTCGCACCCCCCAATGACTTAATCGCTACTCCACAACTCGAGTTTGACTTATTGGACCTCAGATCCGACACAGAATATAAAATCAAAATAACCATCACAATGCGTGACTTGCACAACACACCGACAAGTCGTGTTTACAAAATCAGGACTCCCAAAGACGTCAATACCACCACTTTACCACCTATGATTCCGATCGAACCCGAGTTGGCCATCAGCGATATCAATGCCACTTGGGTAACGGTAGTGTGGCGTAAATTCACGGAATACGAACTGCAGTTCATAGATGGTGTTCAGTTGAGGTTCAAAGAAATTGAAGGGAAAGTTTACGATGCTACGCCACTGATTCATAGATCCGTCACGAGCTACACTCTCGAAAACCTCAAACCAAATACCAAGTACGAAATCGGTATTTTCTTCATTCCTTTCACCGGTCAGCTAACGGAACTGCATGCAGAGCACATGCTCCACTTTACCACGGCTAATGAAATCGATACTTACGGATTCAATGTGACGCTGGATATTTCCCACATTAAGTCGACGAGTGTGGAAATCTCGTGGTCGGGAGTTCCCTACCCCGAAGATAAGTATGTCAACATATACAGGGCGATTTATCAGAGCGATTCCGGGAAAGAAGATCAGAGTACATTTAAGATCGCTAAACGGGATTCGCCGACCAAGACGGTTATTATGGATCTCAAGCCGGGAACTAGGTATCGACTGTGGTTAGAAGTCTACCTGACGAACGGCAAAACTAAAACTAGTAATGTCCAAGATTTCATTACTAAGCCCAGGGCGGCACCTGCGTTTGGAGCGTCCACGCAACAGGACAAACTTTCTGCGGGTGAACAAAGAGAAAAAGGAGATTATTACGGACCCCTAGTCATTGTAGCAATTTTAGCTTCCATAGCTATTCTAAGTACGTTAATACTGTTACTAATATTAGTCAGAAGGCATAGCCAAAATAAAGCTGCCATCACGCCACCACCACCAAGAGTCAGTCAGTCAGCGTACGACAATCCGACGTATAAAGTGGAGATCCAGCAAGAAACTATGGGTAAGTTCGACCACGCCATAACACTTTGCTTCATTTTACGGTACTCTTTTTTTTTTTTAATTACAAATTAATTATTCTGTCTAATTTAGCAAACTGTTTCACGAGAATATTTAATACAAATAACAGTGAAAACTGGCTAATCAATTTTTAATGTTGTCTCATCACGCGTTAATTAATTTCAGAAGAGAATTTTAAAGAAATATAATTATTTGTATAGAAATTAAAGAAAAAAATTGGCACAATTGACCACATGAGCACAAGCAAGTTGCTAGATAAGGAATTTTTTGTCTAAAATGGACGTAATAATCATTCATTATGCAGCTGTTATCAATAATTACACGCTTTCGACGTAAACAGGAGGACAACATTATATGTATGTACTAATGATTTTCTTTTGTTTTAGGATTATGAAAACGTCCGAACTACCACCTCCAACCATTTTGACTGTTGTAAATAGTTACGATATACTTTTTACCTTTAAAATCCTCAAATGTATTTAATTTTAAATATTAATTTAATGTGTAATATAAGATTTATTGTAACATATACTGAGTTTTAATTTAAAATATACCAAATATACACGGTGTTTAAAAAATAGTGCCCTTAATTCCTTACCTCCCTTTAAGTAGTAAGTAAGTAATTATTAATTAATAGTCATTTTGAAAATAGAAAAAGTGCACTTGTCCGTAGTAACTGTTCCATCGAATTCATTTCCTCAGATCATCTGTAAAAACAAAAGAGGACCCAACACCGAACTTTGGGGAACATCACTTAATACTTGCTGGTACGAATTAAAAGTACATCCACTCATAACTGTAAGCGATTAGTCAAAAACGCAGTGGCGGCTCGTGACCTTTTGAAATGGGGGACACAATTTAATTGATAAATAATAAATAAATAAATCTTTATTGCCCTGCAGATCCAATCCAATTACAGGACAATTTGCAATTAAATAAATAAACAGAATATAATATAATATAATAGAGTAAATAATAATGCGAAATGCACTATGATACTGTATACCTTATAATAAACTACATAACACAGATCGATCTAAGTGCGCAAATCATTTCAAGGAGTGACGATCGCACAGATGAAATATAGAATTGAAATGAGAAGCCATACTAAGCACGGGAGATTTAACAAGTATATTTGTATTGGGTTTGCGTAAATAAAACGTTAGAGTTTGTCGGGAATTTATAATCGAGGAATCAAGATATTGAAGAGAGATAATAGGTGACTGCAAACAATTTTGTTCCGAAATATAGAGGACAAAAATTTTAGACTATAATGTATCCGCTTAAATTCTAAAGAGTCGACATTCAAAGTCTCTAATAATACACTATGACTAAAACCCCTGGCAGGATAAACATCAAATATTTTGAAATATAAAAACTTAAGAAATCTTCTCTGAATGTTTTCCAACCTAATCTTGTAACTTGTAACAAAAATAATAGAGAAGCCATACTACACTGCAATATTCCAATCTAGACCTAACGTAAGAGTAATACAGTTTTTAATACTAATGAATTTTTAAAGGTACTGCTGTTCCGGGTTATTATAAACCCAAACACTTCATTGACACATTTATGATACTATGATCGTTAAAATTAAGTTGGTTATCAAAAGTTATACCAAGATCTTTTATTGTTGAAGTTCTATTAAGTGGAAGAAAGTTACAGCTGTACGCAAATAATATGGAATCTTTTTTTTTTGAATATGACATTATTTTGCATTTAGAATAGTTCAAAGGGAGTTTATTTATCTCACACCAAGCATGTATTTCATTGACATCGTTCTGTAGATGACGACAATCCTCCTGTGTATAGATCCTAGTGAATATTTTTAAGTCGTCAGCAAATAAGAGCTTTCCACAATCAGTTATATTAACAATTTCATTGATAAAAAGTACGAATAATAACGGACCTAGGTTGAAGCGCCCAAGCAGCAGACTGTCGTCTAATTCACGTCAATTTTTGGTCATAACTCGTCGGCGACGTCATTCGCCCAAAAAATCACGTGAAAATGACGAGATTTTTATGACTTACTTCTGACGTCAAAAGGCCGTCCTTTCTTCGTCATTTTTTATAGATTATATGATCAATTAGATGTGGGTCGTCGTATTCTTTAAAAAGTGGCCTTCATAATTATATTTAGAGCAAAAAACACAACGGCTTAATTAGAAATACACCAAAGACAAGTTTTTTCATTCTAATAATTTCTAATAAAATAATTATTTCTGAAAACTTGTTTACTCTGGAAGTATTATTTTGTAAGTACCTGCTTGGCAAATTATAAATAGAACATCTGGGGTTGAGCGAAAAGACCCAACGACACAAACAAAGTCATAAAAATTCTTTGTCCATTGTCCCTAAAACGGGACAAGGTTTTGAAGAATTCCTTCGTCGAATTTTGATTTTATAGAGACGTTTATAAAGTGATCACGGTTACCAAAAAAATTCGAGAGTGATTAATATTCAGTTTTATTAAATTTATTCTTATCCGTATTTACTATACAATACATCAGATGTTTGGGGTGTGCATTCGGACTTTCCCTTTTTTCGGTATTTATGTTTATTGCACTTCACAGAGAAGCATTCCAATATTTCCAGTTGGTTCTCAACCACCGAAATTTTCTCGTGTATCCGTTACTCACTTCATTTTTAACGCAGTTTTGTGCAAATTTATGCCATTCAGTGTGGGTTGTACTTATTTATAGTAGGTAATTTAATATCTAATAAAGTAATCATTTTAATTTTTACGTGTTTCTGTTATTTTTGATAACTGTACGTAGATAACAAAAGCAGTTTTTTCAGAAGCTGGAAAGACCACGATTAATCACTGAAGATACTCCCACTGATTATGAAGAACTTACGGTGATTGTTTTTGAAAATGAGGCGCTATAAAATATTGCAAAGGTATGTTACTGCAATTTTTTATGAACTAATGCTAATGAACATAATTTTATTTTAGATTTGAAACAAATACAAAACACATGTGCGAAACGAAAGAAATGCTAAAGGAAACGAGTGAAAAAATCTCCAAGATGGAAACTTCATCAAATCTGACAACTGAAAAAGAAAACAAAAACAGAAATTATGCCGCCAAAACCACACCTAAACAAATTTTGACGAATTACAAGATTATGTTTACATATTACAACAAGCAGATTTCTTTGTAAGTTAAAAAAATACAATGAATTCATATATAAATATATAACATTAATATTGGATATTATATACCGGTAGATGCCTGTAATACTACCAGTGACGGCTCGTCAGGGACGGCAGGGTCGGCCAGGCCGTACCAAATAATTTGAGAAATAAGAAAAGAATTTTTTTTTGAAACTCCAAATTTTTTATTAGCATTTTTGAAAAACTGATATGGTAAAATGTACTATAATTTATAAAAATTAAAAAAATAATAAACATAAATAAATAAAAATAATTACTATCAATTTCTAATAATGAAGACACAGTTTAATGTTTTAAATTCATCCCGGAGAGAAATTATTTTACTATGTCAAATGCCTATATAGACACGGGCCCGGCCGGCCGATGCGTTGAAAAAATGATTGCATTTCCACTAATCCATGCACTCTACCGGGTTTTTCTTTTCAGTGCAATAAATTGAGGCAAACTTAAAAAACTTAGGTTATTGATATGATTGTTAAAACAGAATTAATTACATATACTGTGGTTTTACAGTGCATTTTCAATCAAGTAACTCCAACAATGCGATTCAATTGTCTTTTCCCTTTATTCTAGTTTTTTTTAAATATTTTTTGTAAATAGATTTGTTTGTGTTTTTAAGACTGATCTATAGTTTATTATAGTTTTTTTGTTTAATATTCTTTGTAACTAAATAGATTTCTTTGTGTTTTTAAAACTGATTTTTCTTTAAATAGCATATTTTATTGCAACGTTTATTTTTGATTATATATTGTACAATATCCTTTTTTTTGTTTATACTAATTATACTCGTAATTACCTGTATGTAGATTTGTTTGTGTTCTTAGGAGTGGTTTATCTTTAATTTGTTTAATTGACATATTTTTTATTTGTTTATTGAAGTTTATTGTTGGTTGTACAAAATTGTAGTAAATTTAATTTTTTTACACTAATTTGTTTTAACTTTAATTAATATATACTTTGTTTTGGGCTTTACTTGGTGATTATAACGAATTATAATATTTTATTTAGCTAAACAATAAAAAAAAATAAAATTATTTCAGCGTTTTATTTATTGCATTTTTTTTTAATCAAAATATAAAAAACGTCTTAAAATCGACAATAAATGCCGTCTCTAGGACGTCAGTAAATCACGTTAATAATTCGTTACAAAATGACGACTCTAAGACGTCAGTACATCACGTCAATAGTTCGTGAGAAAATGACGTCATCTAGACGAGACATTTGACCGTCATTTGTACGTCAATATCACGTGAAATCTTTGGTCACTATGACGTAAATGATGACCATTTATTCACGTGAAAAAGACGACATCATGTTGCCTGGGTTGTTTTACGCCTATCTCGCGCAGCATGAAAATTAAAACCCGCGATTGAGTTACTCCTGCCGAGCACTGTCAGAACGAGACCGTAGTCCCATTGACTGAAGTGGCTAGGACGTGTGGTTTCTATGACAACGGTATAAACAAAACGTTTAAATCCGGTCTCTGTGCCCGGTTTTCATCAACAATAACATGTCATATATCCAAGACACACATCTTTAGATGTAAGTGGATGTAATTACAGTTTATACAAGTGGAGCGAGATAAAAAAATTAGTTTTGATAATTATAACACAAATTTCCGGATAGTTTTTTAAATCCTGCAAAAACGATTCTATCCATGTTAGCAGACGACCGGAAATTTCATAGTCAGATAAATTTAACAACAAACGTTTCAAACCTATCAAACACCTTAAAAAAATCGAAGTAAACTACATCGACAAAGTTTTCCTTATCAAGACTTTTGGTCCAGCCCTTAAGATAACATAATAATTTGAAAGATATGGACTTATCTGGTACAAAACTATGTTGCTCACTTGGGACTACATTATGAGTACATAGAAATTCAGGGAGATTGTCAGATATATATCCATTAGGTATTGCCTCTGTAAGCTTAACAACCAATGACGTCAAACTAACTGAGAGATAGTTTGAAGGGTCAAATTTCCACTCAGCAGGCAAAATTTCAGATGAAAAGGATTTGGTCATGACTAAAGCTCAGAAGTATATGCGGAAAAAAACATGTAAATATGCGCATGTATATGCAGAGAAATTTGGCACTACATGCAAAAAATTGCTAAAATATGCAAGAAATATAAGTAAAATATGCAAGAAAAATTACGTGACCGTAGGTTCTGTACTTGATTATGTGAAAAATGCGGAAACAGGTCGACTTTTGATTCAAGGGGTACGTATATTTATAATGTTATGTTTGTATGGGGGTGAATGGAGGTCATATTCAACATTTATTACGTTGACTATTCTTAACGAGTAAGTAAAAAGAGGTGATATATTTTATTAGTTTTTCATAATACAATTTCTCAGGAATCCATCGACTTTAAAAATTCAAACACTGTTAGAAAGAGAATTACTAGGGCTTCCAAACAAGATACATTAGTGCCATTTAAGATTTTTGACTTGATAGCCGCCCCTCGTTTCTGGGTAAAAGTAAAAGAACAAAAATAGTAATGTTATACGTCCCCCTTCTACATACATATATTCATTTCAACATTTGCGCGGTCGCCCTCTTTTTCGTGTTCCCGGCGGTTTACAAGTAAATACCTGTTTCGTCCATCGTGAATCACGCATTCTTAAAGATGATCAAATCACTTAAGCTTCTTAATTTCAATCCTGTTCATTGCTGTTTCTGTTGCTTACATTCTATTTCAAATTTTTTCGTTGGTAATTCTTCCTCTTCTAGACACTCTGGTGCTTCTTCAGTGATAATCCATCTCAACAGCTAACAATCTTCTTGTATCTTCTTTACTCCCCATACTTCACTTCCATATTGTTTGGACCATTGCAATTGCTTTACCTTTATTTTTCTGGTTTATGGACCAGAAAATACATTATTAACTTGTACAGCACATAAATGAAGTAGTCAATAATGCAATGAAGACCTTAGGCTTTGTTCATTATAAGTGTTTTGATTTCACAGAAAGTTACCCTTTAAGAACATTATTTTGCACGCCTGTGCAATCCAAGCTTAGATTTTGTGCTATAACCTGGTCACCAAATTACGAAATATATACCAGTCATCATATTGTTACGTTGAACGGGTGAATAAAATTGGCGTGGGTAAAACTCAACAACTTATTTCTTACTAACTCGAATTTACACGACTAATAACTATTATAGCGATAATAAAATAATTCCGGCGCAACGTCTCTTGACTCAACTAGTTGAATAATCCGTTCCCCAAAGGTGGGGCACGCGATCCTTCTCGAAACCCTACTTCACCGTAGACTTCTCCGGAACCCCAATTCGCGACTTCCTTTTCCAGGCGTTTCTTTAGCGCTCCGTCGCATTGAGGATGAATCATCATCGGCGTAAGACCAGACAGTTCTCGACGGCTATAGGCGTCGTAAGGGTGTATTTCGTAACAATATTTACCATTCAAACTAGACGGGCTCTCTTCTGCATGTCAGACTCTTTTATTAGCCCAATTTAATTTCAATTCGCTACAAACATGCAGATTAGAAAACAGTTATTTAATTTCCAAGGTCGGAGTCAATATATGATTGTTTTTCGGGTTGGGACCGTATCAGTTGAGTTTTTGGGCCCAACGTTTCGCCCCCTTTCGTAAGTGGCATCTTTAGGAACAGGGTTGAGAAATTAGGAATCAAGCAAAAGAGCACGGTAACTCAGAATGTCAACCATACCAGAGGCGAAACTCTTTTAGTGGGAAGAATGTCGTTGTGACATTTTTATAGAGACGTGATGGGGGGAACTGTCGTGGTTGAAGCTGATTGGCCGGCTCCGGATGGAGTGGGGGGAGATAAACGAGCAATTGCATTTAGTGTGGGCTTCCAAATATTTGACAGATAATAACCATTGTATCACAGATTTTCCGGTCATAGAAATGGAGTGCTTTGGACAGAACTTGGGAATTTTCAAACAAAATGGTGTGTCCGGTTTCATCTTGAATTCGAATTTTTATGGACCGACCAGTTTCTCCTATACATATATGCTATTTTTTCTTAAACGTATAAGATTATATTAAAAACATTGTAAAAATAATTCAGGAATAAATTCTAACTTGCATTCAGGAATCGTAATGGCGACTTACAAAAATATTTTTGAATGTTGTTATGGGAATTTATCAAACGAAAAAAAAACGTCACAATTGAAATAGCTGAAGTAGGTAAAGCTGCAATTGAAAAACTTCTTCCGACAAAATGAAGTGTTGTTAATGAAGCAGCTTTTAAGAAATTTACCACTTGGTGCTACGAAAAAACGCAGTCGTTTATACGGAAAGTGTCCTTCTGGCGTATTTTTTTGGGAGACCGCCAAAAGCATAAAAAGTTCCAGTTTGTTGTCCTACTATTAGGAACGAAAGGTCTAGTACCGTGAATTTCAATTCGAATGACAAAATTAATAACAGTGATTTGGAAGAAATTGCAAAAAACGATCTTTTTCAAAATGTGGCAAAATGTACCTTTGATAAGTATTATAAACATCAGCAATAAATAATTAGAGTTAAACCGTTTGTCTTTGCCTTATACTGAATCAAGCGTTTTTTAATATGTGACAAAGTGGCCCACGAGTTTGTCCTTTTACAGCGTAAAGTAAAGCAACTTCCACAATCAACTTTTTCTATTTCTAATTTAACTTATCTCATATTTCTTCCAATTTTCATTAGCACAACTGCGAAAATAAGCATTTTAAAAACAATTTCTAGGCATAATATTGTTTCATTGTGGCACAGATCCAAAAACTGAAAGTTTAGTATTCCTTTAAAAAAAGTTGTATAATTTCGAAAAAATTAACTGGATTACTTTAACAGTGGTGGATATATGAACCTTATGAAGTCCTAAAACTTGGAAGGTGTGGTCCACAACGCAGTGCTCATTTTTCATATTATGACAGCAAAATTAACTGTTTTACGTGATATAAAAACTCCAATAATACACTGTTGAGCAGCACCGTCTTGCAAAAATAATAGAAAACAAAATATAAAATTAATCAAATTTATTATTAAGTAAATGTAAAAAACTAAAATAATGAAAATAAAGATGGGTGTATAAAAATATTTTCATCAAATGTACTTCCATAATCTAAATTAATTACATATAAATTAATATCTACAACTTTCTTCACAATGTCATTTACAAACACATAATTTTTACAACATTTATACCTGCAAGAGAAGCGTAAAATATGTCCTTATCAATTCACACTAAGTAAGTAATCTTATTAACATTTATATATATTTACTGAGGTATTTGAATTTAGACAGTATAATAAATAAAGTCATGTCATTAAATTACTACAATCACAAAAACATAATAGAATTTTAAAATAATTACCACAATAAAAAATTAATTTACTCTGCTGATATGCTTGAACTAGGTGAAGACCTGTCTCGTTTATTTTTTTTATTTTTTGATTTTTCTTTTTTTCTTGATGAATTTGAATGACTACTCGAAACAGAATCTGCCGGTGAGGAACTATTGGAATGATCCTGAAGAAGGTCTCTTAAACTCGCCAAGTCATCGTCTTCCGCTTCGATTTCAACATTTAATGAGTCGGTGGGCCTAGAATCGCACGATTTTTTTGGTGTACCGCCACCTAAAACAAAAACGGGAATAAGTTGGCAGCAAGAAATTCCCCAGAATCTTACTTTTCGTCTTTTTATTTCCATTTCGTTTTTTCTTCTTTCCTCTTTTGTTTCCTGAATTCCAATCGATGTCGTCCTCGTCATCACTCGGGACACCACTAAATGAGGAATTTTCCCTCTCTTTACTATTGCTGCTGCTGCTTGCGACACGTCTAGTTGCATTCCTGAATCTGTTCCTTCCCATACCCATACAGGCCTCCAAATGTGGAGCAAACCGTGTTGCTGCTACTGCTCGATCACAGTTTGGACAAACGCAGTCTTGTGTTTTCTTCACATCGTGCTGGGCAAAAATGTCCACTTCGGCCGCTTCGTCCTCGTCTCCGTCGTCTTCTTCCATGTCGATTTCATAAGAATTGGTTTTATATTTACGATGTAGATCAAATATAATTCCTAAGGTGAGCTCGTCAATTACATTGTTTAGGAAACTCTCCACCGAGGTACGTAATACTTCTTTATTAGTGACTAGTTCGTGAAAATCTTTCGCCAGCTTGGATAGAAGTTGTTTGTCGTCTAGTTTTTGCGACTTTGACATTTTTGTCAACATTTAAAAGTGCCGCTATTTTTTGTTAAATGCCACTAGTATAACCTATAAATTGCAGAAGCTCGAATCACTTACCACGTGAACACATCTTTCGGATTTATCACAATTACTAAACGTATTGTTTTGTAGATTTACAACTTGTGAGAATGGGATAACACGAACAGATTATTTATGAATTAATTTCCTCATATTTGTTGCTGGATTTTGTAACCAACTTTGCGTTGGTTACAATGACATGCAATGTTTTCCACCAATAAGCTGGCAGCACTGGTTGACTCGTGGACGCGCCAATATGATTTTTTTTGTATTTTGAAGTTTTATTTTACATTTCTTGCAAATCGCAAACAAATCAATAATTGGCTTCATAAACTATTTTCACCTTTGGCACATTTTAATTAAGACCACAATCGTGATTAAGAACGACTTCATAACACTTTTTTTTTAATTGAAACCGTCAAGGTCGAGGCATCCATACTTGTTTTAATTAGCTATTTTAGATGGTCGGATAAGTTAAGTATGTGAAAATATCTATTCATTTATTTGGAACACAACACGTGCAACAATGAAATATTTTACAATAGAACAATACAATTAAAATTTAACGGCACCGTATTTTTACTTCTCGAGCTAAGGCGGCATTGTAATATAGTCTAATTTTTTGTTTTCTCGACGTTTCATAACTCCCAGTGTATGAAAAAATATTTCTTCCGTTTCTATTTGTCTATCGCGTCTGTGAAATCAGTTGATGTTTTTATCATAGACTATAGAAGAAAGAATATAATGTAATTAAATTAATTCGGTCACATGTTATAGAACTTATAGACAGACAACCTCCGGAACTACTGGACTGATTGTTGCAAAATACTAAGCAAAATTTGTCTGATCATCCCTACCACTGATGACGTCATCTCAAAATTTTCCAAAGAAAATCCTCCTTAAATTTTACAAAATAACGTAAGGTACTTGATGCAGACTCAAGAAGGTAGAAAATTTTTAGTAAAGAGCGAAAGGAAAAGGAGGAAAAGGAGGAAAAATTGAAGGAAACAAGGCAAAGGAAAAGATAAAGAAATAAAGGATGCAGATAGGGAAATCGAAAAAAGGGAAGCTGGTACAAAATTAGGAGAAAAAGGGGCGAAGATACTGTTTTGGAATGTCCAAAAGTTGCGAAAAAAGGAAAAGAAGTTCTGAGACTACGTGGGAAAATTTGATGTAGTGGGAGAAATTTGAAGAGACACTACCAGAAGAATATGTGTGGAAGTGTCAAGGGGAGACAAAAGAAAAGAAAAAGGGGAGAGCAAGCGGGGAAATAGTAATGGGAATTCGAAAAGAAATGCAAGAATTGGAAACGGGGAGTAATAATAAAAACGGGCTAATGATGAAAGTAATACAGCTGGATAACAATCGATGGGAAATAATAATAATCGTTTATAGCAAGAAAATGGAGGAAACCAAGATAAACATAGAAAAGGAAGCAAAATAAAAAGGAGATGAAAAAATACTTATAGGAGGGGATTTTAACGCAAGACTGGGCGACTAGGGGACAAGAATAATAGATAAAGAAAATGGAGAGAAAAGAGGATCAAAAGACAAAGTAAATAACAAAAAAGGGAAAATATTGTGGAAGATAATAGAAGAAATGGGATGAGAAATTTTGAACGAAAACAAGGAAGGAAATGAAGAAGGAGAATGGACGTACGTAGGGGCTAGGGGAGAATCAATTATAGACTATAGGATTGTCAACGAAGAGGCGTGGGAAGAAACAGAGAGTTTCAAAATGGGGGAAGGGGTAGAATCAGCCGACATGCCACTAAAAATAAAAATCAAAGGAAAAGAGCTAGAGTACAAAAAACAAGAGAGAAGAAACGAAAGAAAAGAAACAGAAAAAAGGATATGGGATGAAGAGGGAATTCATAGATACAGAAGTAGACTAGAGAAAAAGAAATTCAAAGTAAAAGCAGATATAGAAGCTATGATAGCAGAACTGATCAACTTAATTGCAGAAGCTACGGAAAAAAGAAAGATATACATATGGTAAAGGAGGAACAGTGGATGGAACGGAGAATGTAGTGAGTTGAAGAGAAAAGCTAGGGAAAAATTAAGAAAATGGAAGAATAACAGGGGGAGGAAAGAAGAATACTTAAAACCAAGAGAGAATTGTAGGAGAAAATGCGAAGAAAGAAAAAGAAAAAAACGAGAAGACAATAAAGTCCCTGAAAAAAAGAAGAAGTATGGAGATATATAAACAAGGAACGGAGAAGGAAGACTGAAGTCCAGTGGCGGCTGGTGGGTCAAAATTTCGGGTCGGCCAAATATTTTGAGTCTACACCTTGGTGTTATATATTTTCGTAATGTATGGCTGCTACTCATTAACCACTGACATTTTACGTGCCAGGATGTACAAAACATCTCAAATGTTTCGACCTGTTAAAATAATTTTTTATAGGAAATTGACAATGTCAGTTTGATTCTAAATACTATTAATCCTTAATTCTACTTGTTCTGCTTTATCATTAATTGAGAACCACCGAAAACATTATTTTTACTGAGTTCCCCGTCGACCGGCGGCTATACGGCTTGCCGACCCCGGACATCCACAATTAAATAATAATAATTAAATAATGACATGCAGTTAAAAAATATAAAAAAAAGTAATAATAAAAGTACCAACTGTTAACTATCTTCATTTACATTTATTTTTTTTTTAATGTATATGACAAATTATCAAATAAATTAATTGAATAATTGAAAAATTAAAATGATTTAAAACTTTAAATTCGTTTCTGAAATATCTGAAAACGCTTAGATGCTAAAAATACAGAAAAAGCGCATTTATGTTGTAGCTAAGTTATGTACGAAAAATAAAATTTTAGATAATTTAATGTAATTTTTTTCGTTTATTATTCATACACAGGAAAATGTATTAAATCGACAATTATTATTAAAAAAAAATAGTATGCACTGAAGAACATCGAAGCCGTTATTGTTTTGTAATTTGTTTAGCTATCTTAAATATTAAGCGTTTTAAAAACTAAATTCGCGTTGCTGGGTACGGCGAAGGAGGATTTCGCCGGACCTGGCACAACATACGTTCCGCCAGGTCTTTGTCTACTATAGTGTGCTAGACAAAGAGAACGATGAAACCGTAAGCTGCTACGAAGTCGAAACATCGAGCATAATGTATTCCTGGATACGGCGTGCCGAAATCTCGCCGGCAAAGCGTGTTTATCAGCATTTAAAATTAGCAACAAATGCTTTATTTTCTACCTACAATATAATAAAATATATTTTTAATATTTATGATCTATCCTAACGTACATTCAAACTTTATTTCTTTTTTTATTTTCTACTTTCAACGCTTACTAAGTATTTTAAAATGACTGGTACGGCGTGGCCGACCCTGCCGCCCCTGACCAGCCGCCCCTGCGTGAAGTCAGTAACAAAATCAAAATACAGGAATGGAAAAGACACTTAATGAAAAGTACTGGTTAAGTTTGTATAGGAAAAGTATTTCTATTGTAAATTTAAATTTTTGCGTGACACTTGATATTAAATTAATGCTCTTCAACACAAATAATGAAACACGTATTTAAATATTTTCTGAAATTCAACCCCTAAGAGGGTAAAAAAGGGTGTGGCTAAGTTTGTATGAGAAAAATATTTTTATGGTGATGTTTACTTAAAACTTGGTATGAATGCTCTTCAGCACAAATAATAAAACACGTATTTAAGCATTTTTCCAGATTTCATCCCTAAGGGAGTTCAACAGGTTCAAAAAGTTATTGTTACAAGACTAATATAGGTAAAGTTGTTTGTAAAATAAAACGATTTACATTAAACTATGAAACTTCTAAAAAGATTAATTCCGATAACTAGTACCTATAACTAATATTTTAGAAAAGTCCAGTAGAGTTGGTCCAGAGTCAAAGACGAAAAAAGACTGTAAAATCAGTACACAATATAATCGAATTACCAGAGATTCTAAAACTAAGGTACTCTTAAATAAAATAGAAACAAAAGAATTTGGTTTTGTTTATGACAAGAGGGTTATTTTAGAAAACTTTGATACAATACCGTTTGGATATTAATTAGACAAAAAAGAAATTAAAGTAGTATACTGGGTGGCGCAGCTTAATATCCCTCTTATTAAAAAACATTATTAAAAACTATTTTAGGTAGGTATATAAATTGGAAGACACCATAACTATAAAATTGAAAGCGAATGGAATATCTACAGCATGTTGCATATCAAATGGAGAAGAAATTCTATTTGATCTAAAAGAAGATGAAGAAATTGAATTGTTACCAAAAATTGCTTTTATTTTAATCACAAAGTTATCTCCAGAAAAAGTAAAAAACATCTGTATAAATTCTTAAAATTTGCTGAAAATTATTGTTGTTGCTCTTTTATATAAAAGTGGTATATTGTAATTTTTTAAAGAGAAGGATAACAAAGCGATTTCATACGAATATGATGAATTTTCAAATATACAGGGCATTACACGAATGAGTACGAGCCTGCGAGAATTAAAAATGCAACCCAAAATACAAATTCAAAACTTACTTGGATGCCTTTTTTAAATTCCGGGCGTTAGAAATTTGTCACTGTTTGTCAGCATTTGAAATAACGATAAAACGGATCTATCATTTATGGGGAATGTAAAAAGAACGCTTCTTTGGCAGCTAGAATGTATGTGGAACCTTATCTGCAGAGAAAAGTATCTGCCAACAAAATCTTTAAAAAGCTGAAAATGTTGGGGAAGAGTTGACCACCAATTAAAAAACTAAGGCGGAGAACAGCTACCGACCCCGAAAATGAGTTTGCTGTCTTAGAAATGGTGGAAAATGCCCCTCACGTGATTCAAAAAACAGTGGCAGCCGCAGTGTGTGTTAGTGTAGTTTCTGTCAACAGGATTTTGAAAGTCAACAAATCTCATCCCTACCCGACCTGACTTGACCTAGCGTAAGAATTAAAGCCCCCAGATTACGGACAACGATCAGCTCTTTGCAATTTCTTTATGTTAATAAAAATCTGGCGATGGCACGTTTTAATGAATACTCCTATTTATCTATACAGGGTTAGTTACCAGAAAATTATTTCTGAAAATTATTTTTACGCAACCCAAAATACTAATAACGTGTATCACTTGATAGATACTAACTGAATTTAAAATGAAAGGCCTAATCCATGATTGGTTTGACTTTGGCAGTGTCCGTTTGACGTCAGTTAATTTTTACATTTTTCTTCATCGTT